GTGGCTGTGAAGGGGGGGGGGGTCGTATGAAACTTCTCGTGAAGGAGGGGGGTCGTAAAAATTTTGCAAAAAGTACCAACGATAGGACCGACCCTGGTCACCGATGGCGCGTATTTTGAAACTGCCACATATGGCGAAAGAGTAACTGTCCCTGTGGACTAAGCCTTGGAGGAGCAGACGAACAGAGCGCCGCGCCATCGCGTGGCCCCCCCCCCCGAACCCGAGTTTCACCCGTTTGTGAGTTACTTAAGTAGCTTTAGTTTTGTGAAAAAAATAACTTTTAATACTGGAGAAAAATGAGTCAGTGATCGCTTGAATCTATCGATTCCAGTGAATGACACATTCGAATAGGTCAATCGATAATGTCTGAGGAGCTGCGGGACAGTCACTGAAAACACTGAAGACTGCTTGCAGAAATGAAGGCGAATGAAACAACATTACAACGATCCGTCGGTTGCCGCGTATTGTCCGTGAACACGGATGCTTTCTTCTAATCGCGGTTGCCTTCCCTCAACATTGAAGTGTCCCGTAGGGTCCGGCGAATGGAGTTCACTCCAATAGGAGGGATTTTGTGAAAAGCATTGAAAGCTCTCAAATCCCCGGAATGTAATCCGCAGAACTTTGAGTCTCATCCAGCAGAGGGGGGATGTGGTGTGACAGTTGCTGCCACTCACGAGAAGTGATTTTTGTAGGGCACGGAAATCCCCGGGTTGCGTGAACTATTTAGTTTCCGCTTTTAGACCCACCTCGAAGCTTCGTTACCTAAAATTCGATTAGTTCATGCGCTATGAGCTGTCGCACCAATGCTCCTCCATGGACGAGAGCAAAACTTTTCGTTTACACAAACGGGAGACGGTCAAGAGTCCCCGCGACCGCCGCGCCAAAACTAGGTCACCGCGCGCGACGTCGCCGGTGTTTCTGCAATTTGCCGAGTTCAGGACCCTCTCTCCAGACGATCGATACAACGCTTTCCTGTTCCCTCTGTGTAGGCCCCATTCCTGCATTTGTTTCAGCTTAGTCCTAGCAACTTGATACGTTTCAAGCTGGATATGGTAGATAGCCGCCGCGTGCGGTGACCTGCTTTCGCTTGCGCGACGACCTCAGGGGGACTCTTGTCTCGCAACTCTCGCTCAAACTCATCGCACTTTGTGGAGGCAGGTGACATTTGTGTTGTTTGGTCTGCACTGCGGACGCAAAGGTTACATACAGTCGCGGTCAAAACTATGGACTCGGAGCGGCCAACAAAGAACGAATTGCCTTCAAGATCACGGGTCATTTCACAAAATCTAGCCTATAGGAGTGAGTATTTGATTTATTTATTGAGTTGTTTATTTGTACGGCTAGATGACCTGGATTCGTGTGGTGCGACACGAAGTAGTGACCTCTTCGAACTGTGAGTGGAAGACAAGCAGAAATGAAGCAGGTTTGTTTACAAACAAAATCAATAAACAGTAAGGTAGGGGTGAATCGCTAGTACGGAGGCACGGAGGCGAGTCGTAGTTGACGAGCTCGAGGGCGACCACCGAATACGGGACCACACTCGGGTGCATGGCGCGAACTGTTTCTCGGCGTAAGCCACAAAGGCTATCTAGGTTGAGCCATTTGAGGCTCCTTCAATTCATTGACAAAAAGACTGATCAATTCAAGTTACTAAGCCTATCAGAGCCTCTAAGGCTCTACTCACTCAGCCACTTACGCTACTCTTGCTCTCCTCTATTGAGCTTGGACCCTCTCCCTCACGGGCCATTGTAGCTCCTAAAACACCTGCTACCAGACTTCCTGACCCTTTTTATAGGAACATTCCCGCCCGATGCGTTTCCCTCTGGCAAGGTGGTCCCCTATGACCACCCGCGACAAACAGACCGCCTCCTCCTCGACCTACCGTGCTCAAACCAGCTGAATCATAGCTCGTATCTCGAGGCAGGCATGCTCTTTCCCTAACAATTTTACTTGTAATTTTTATTTGTGACGATATGTGGTCTCAGAACTCGATGCAAGCGTTTGTGAGGAATACGACTTCAACTCATAAAAAACACGCATCAAAAGGCTCTGAAAGTTGCACAGTTAAACATGAATTCAGGAAAATTGGTGTTCGAGAGACACCCGAAGGGTAAGCTATCTGTTAGATAGCACTATGTTTATATAATCGATCGATGGCATCGTTCATGTTGACAATGGATCGATAAGAACATTGTTTTTGAACTTGAAATAGAACCCTGTACTTTGAGCCCTGAATCATCCTTTGGGGAATTTTTCCCACTGGATTTGACGGTGCGATCTTTTATCTCCACTGGGAATTACGCATCAAATGAAAGACTTTTTGGTAGAAAAGCGACCGAGAAAGGGTAAATAAGTAACCAGTTTTGGCATAACTGAGATAGAAAAACCGAAGGTTGGCAGAGTATATTTCTTCCGTGGTCCGGTGGAGTGTACGTAAATCTGAATCTCGCCCATCGGGCCACTTAACAACGCCAGGTTTGGGCGCAGGCAAGGTGTACTGGAAGCACCAAACTATTCCCACGGTGGTGTTGGTGGGTCCTTCAGTCTCCAGTCCGCTATGGAGTGGAAAGCCGGATACCCGACAGGAGGCTCGTCGCGCGGCAAGAAGGCAGAGTCAGCGGACGAAACGCAGCCAGTGTCAACCCTACGTTGTTACTAGTAAACACGGGGGGGGGGTCGTACTTGGTTGAGTTTGTAGGAGGGGGGTCGTACCCGTTTCAGTCGCTTGAAATCACATGCGAGTTTGAGGTGAAACTGAAGTTTTTATGGGTAGGTAGGTTGGGTGAGTTGAGGGGCGCAGAAAAAAAAATCTGTAAATATAGGTAAAAGCCGGTAGAAGTAGAGCAAAATGGCGGAGAATAATAAAATTACAGTAATCATGTTAGTGAAATTTTTACTGTTATTTTTACTGTTTTTATTTTTACTATATATATTTTTACTATAGAGACGATGATGGTGGTCGAGGTGTGGAAATGGGGGTGGTATCAAATCCACCTTGGGGGAGGAGGGTCGTAAAATTTTTTCAAAAATTACAAAAAGCACAGCGATAGTATTGACCCTGGGTCGCAGTGTGTGATGTGCAGTGTAGGGAGTACAATGCTACATCCTATTAAAATTGACGTGAAATCACTGTAATAAATCGCTGCGACTCGTCCGCCGACCCGTCTGCGTCTCTGCCTTTCGACGCGCGACGGCCCCTTATCGAGTAAATCGGTTTTCTACTTCCTGGTGGGAGGCTACCCACGGTTATTGTGGACCAGACATCCGTAAATACTGCACCATGGTAAAGCCGGACATAAAAGCTGCCCATACTTCATTGAAGGGAGAACTTGTTTTGAATCGCATGTCCTCTTGCCCATTTTATTCTATTTTATTTACTCGTTCGGAAGGCAGAGCCAGGCGATAAAAAGCAGCTCCAAAACGAATTTGACGTTGAAAGCAAGAGAAGAAAAAACAAATAATCGAAAACAGGTGAGTACACCACAAAGAAGTAAAGAAAGCGCAATGTGGAAAAAGCTAGGCAATGGCTGAGCAAAGGCGATAGGAAGAAGAGAAGGTAAGAAAACTCGAGAGAATTATTAGGCTTGCTCGTTAAGCGGTTCGCATAATTGTTTAAAACATTCTTGCAGAAAGAAAAAAATCTAATGCAAAGGAGTTTACTGAACCTTCAACAGTAACACTGGCACGTTCTCTTCCAGAAAAGGTTCATGTCAGCACATAATCAAACTACTGCGAAAATCAAACACCGCGCCTTAAATGGAAGGAAAACGTAAGCGTGGCGTATACTGCGAGTGCCAACGCTCCAGTGAAATAGCCATCGTAGTAGACGACTGTTAACTGGAGATGATCAGGACTTGACAGATTATTGTCCTTACAGCGAGACATTTCTACTCCACTGATGCCGATCATACAAGGGATGTATTCCCTCAAATCCCTCAAGTTGGGGTGGGGAGGTGGGGGAGGAAAGTGGTGCATCACTTACGCCGCCGACAGCAATCCTAACTTTGGCAGGAAACGAAGCTGTAGGGGGAGGGTGTACAAGCGGAAGCGAGATTGTTCTCGCAGCTTCAAGATTTCTTCTTTCCAGAAAAATTGGAATTACTGTAGATCCCATCGCAGAGAAGGTGTACCGGACTGTGGTAAGGCCCGCGGTAGTGAGTGCTGGCACCTTGCACTTGAACAAGAATCACGAAAGGCAGCTTCACTCCGCCGAAATGAGGATGCTGAGGTGGGCCTGCGGCTGGACAGGGTCAGAACGAGGATGTCAGAGCGGTCATGCAGACTGCCCCTGTCCAGCTGAAGGTACGGGAACAGCGTCTGCGATGGTATGGGCATGTGCTGAGGCCACAGGATCACCCGACAAGAAAAGCAATGGACTTTGTAGCCTCGACTTCTGAAAGGATGAGAAAGTGAGTGGGAAGAGATGGAGAGAAGGACTTCTCCACATCTCTTCCCACTCACTTTCTCATCCTTTCAAGAAGGGCCTCGGCAGAAGGGTACTGCTAAAGGAATGATGAATAGGTCACGCCGAACACAATCACTTGAATTGCTTTTATATTTTACCCCGATGCAGGATGTGCAGAAAGGGCGTACGGTACGGACACGAATAGCGTCAATACGAGATGCTGGCGCATTACTGGAGAAGCTGGCGCTCAATTGGACAGGCACTCCTGACCACTCGCTAAATCTGATGCGCCAGTCTTCTATGCTGGCGCTTTTCGCGCTTTCCGCACTGTCTGCCCGTTCCACACCGGCGAAGAGCATGAAAACTACCTTAGCTCTATATAAGCTACTTACGAGAGTTCTTTAAGTGTTCTTCAAAAAATTCAGTAGTTAAAGTATCGTGTCCTGAAACCTATGTGAGATTCGACGAACACAGTGATGAAATCATTATCAGTTGTGACTTGCTACAAACCAATTGCAGATCAAGTATTAACGTTTCAGTTCTGACAAATGGCAGCATTATTCAGGTCCGGTAGGCGCTGCTTCCGCTGGAATAGCTATGGCATCCGGATAACACCGACACCAGCTCCAATTCGTCTAAAAATATTCATATATATTTTTGATAGTGTATCAAGCTATAGAAAACGCCCCACATAAGGCAGCGTTCAGAGTTGGCGATTGAACATGCGATTGGGCGGAAGGAAAAGGAAGTGTACTTATCGATTGGGCGATTAGGCGGCAAGAAAAGAACACGTGTTGATCCCGCCCGTTGAGCGACCACCTGATCGCCTAATCGTCTAATCGCTTACTAACCCAATCCACTAATCGATACCTTTACGGATTAATCGCCTAATCGCCTCATCGCGTGGACAGTCGCCAACTCTGAACGCTACCAAACAGTCAAAAGCTATGCTAACAATTGCAAAACTGTGAATCCTGAACCGAACTGACCCGTCATTCATGCAACTGTGATTTTTCCAGTGATTTTTGTCGGGCTCAAAAATCTCCACGGTGTCCAGGTCAGCAGTGAAATCGTTCCCACCCACAGCGAGTAGTTTTTCATTGACCACGGCCAGTCCGAGCTGTGAACGACACTCGTTCTCCTTCTTTCATTATAGTTAATGTTAAATGGGAAAAAGTGGAAACTCACACCATATCGCTTCTTCTTCATGGTAGACACTGCAGTCCATTCATTTTTGACGGGGTCATATTTCTCAACTGAACTTAAATGCACTGCTTCCTCCTTGTTCTCCTCCTACTGCATATAAGTACCCATTAAGCACTGCAGATCCCAAACGTCTTCGACGTGTTAACATTGAGCGAACCGCTTCCCACTTACCAACTCGTGGGTCAAATCTGAAACGGGCGATTTTGCATCTGTCATTACACTTCCCGCTTTCCGCCTTTTTCACAGCGGAAAGGATCGAAATTGTTTTGATCACTGGTCGAAGTATTCTGAAAGCTAACGTAGAGGACGAGTAGTGGTAGAGTCAAATCTCTAGGGAGGGCCAAACTTATGGTAACCGCGAGTTCACGCGGTAAAGTTACTTTTTCCCGGAGTATTTCCCGTGAACGATTTCTTCAAAGCCACGAGTCAGGATTAGGTCCCAAGAGCCAGTCCATGCTAAAAATTGAAAGAGCGGTCCACAAGCGCAGGAGGCGCGACACTGTCGCGACTCAAAAGTGCGAGGCAACGGCGCTAAGGCCTGCCTTGTGTGCTGCCGTGCTGCCATCCTTATCAACCGCGGCATACGTGGTGTCTGCGCCCTCTCGCGTACGACGTACTTCTCGCGTTTTCCCTCTCCTCGCAGCGCTATGTCTCTCCCTCATACCATTATTTTTTCGGTGCTAACTTAGTTTGGGGGAGGGGGACCACGCGACGGCGCGGCGCTTTTGCTCGTCTTTCTCTTCCAAGGCTTAGCCCAAGGAAGGTCACTATTTCGCCATCGCGTGGCAGTTTCGGAATACGCGCCATCGGGGACTAAGCCCTTGGGGAGCAGACGAACAACTGCGCCCCTTTCCCCCAACTAAGTAGCACAGTTTTTTCTCCCACGCTAGTGTTTCCTCCTGCATTTCCTGCCTAACGCCATTAAATTAAGCCTATTAATCGTCGAGGAAGCGCCACAACCTCGCTCCGTTGACTTAGCACAGTACTCACACTCTGCTTGCGGTGGCATATTGCTTGCCACCGACCACTCCCTCCTTGTCGTAATAGTTGTTTTTAAGCAGGTTCAATTTGACAGCCTCTTTGACCGAACCACCATGGCGGCTATTCTTGCCGATTCCACGTAAAGTGCAATGATCATGGGAAAGTGACATTCGAAGATAATAACGAATTCTCGCATGGTTCGGCGGAGGCGTCATTCGGTAGCTTCTTGAGATCGTCTTTGTTCACCGTTGTCCTACGACGCACGGTACGCTCGTTGCTGAGCAAGACCTCAAAGTACTCCGCCTCCGATCCGCCTATCTGTTTTAACTGATGATTTGGACGAGCTGCGTTGCTGCACAAGTAGAGCAGCTCGATTCGAGCGTGGTTTGGCATGGTACCGCGCAAACGCGTTGCGGTGAAGTACGTCTGTTTTCTTGGCTGCTACCTGTTCATGAGTGAAAAACATGGCCAGAAAAGGAGTTCCGTTTTGCGTCTTCTTAGCAAGATTTCTCCACTTTCGCCACTGTTGTACCATTGGGCAGCACTAGTCTTCTATGAGCCCTTCTTTAACCTATCTTTAACCTGCCTTCGAGAATTCGTTGCTGATTGAAATATTAGGTGGTGGCGCTACTGTATCGAATGTGCATCGACTCACCTTTCCACAGTATCCAAAAATTGAGCTTCCATCCCCACCTCCCACAGCATATAAGCAGCCATTAAGCACAGATACGGCCAGCCCACTTCTTAGTGTATTCATGGGCGTCATGCGGATCCACTCGTTTCGTCGTACGTCGTAGCTACAAAAGTGTTGATGCAAACATGAGCACAATCGCGTCAGCTTCGCATTTACCGTTCAACAAGGTTGTAACGGTGTCTACCATCAGTGCCGCCCACCGCATAAAGGAAAGCCGTCAAGTGCAGCCACGCCAAGTGAATCCCGACCCGTGGACATTACTGCGACATCACTCGACACGTTCGTTAGTAGCAGGGTCAAACCTGAGATTATGTCTTTAAGGTCTTCCAAGATTAGTTCTATGCTTTTGCGGCCCTAACAAGGGCATCCAGGGCCTTGGTAGCTATTTTGTCCTGGAAGTTCGGCGACCACTACCTGGACCTGGAGCCCATTTTGATACCACACTATAGTAAAGAGCAATCCCCGGGATCTAGCACGATGAACGAGGATTTCCGGAGCCCGGTACCTTTATAAAATGAGCCCAGCTTCATGCCCAAATTGCGCAATTAGGGCGCTAACCCATCACGAACCTGCAACCATCGACCCTAGCTGCAACGCTTCCCACCCACCACATCGATATAGAGATCACAGCTGTCTCGAACGGTGTGCTCTCTCGCGTGGTTTGTCTTCTTTGATCGCCCTGTCTCGCCATCGCACCACATCCCACGTTACTGTAGGTTGAGGCCTTTTCCCAATGATTTCCCCTGCTGTCCTTTCCACTTTCAGTTCCTTCCGCAGCTCAGTCACCATTACGCCCTTATACACCAGTTTTATCCCGGGCCTGCCTTTGAAGGGCGGCGAAAAATGACATGGCGCGCAAGGATATCGCTTCGTTTTAAACGCTTGTTATTGGAAAATTATGCGTAATTTTTTCCCCAAAACATTTGCCTATTTGCAATTTTTGATTTGTAGAGAACCACTTTCGTTCTGCGAATTCTGCGAAACGTTCTCGGGTTGGAATGCGATTGCGTGGCAAACAAAGAGCTGGTCTGGGAGCTTTAACAATCTGTTTGAGGCTAACGATTTCTCTAAAGCCGTTCAACGAAAGTATTACAGGCAAATGGAAAGGTTCCGCCAACCCGAGGGAATGAGAGCAGCGTACCAGCGCCTGATGGGTGCAGTGAACTGTTAAAAAGAGGAACGACCAAAAAGATTACTGGATTTTGAAGAAGAGTGCCAAAGAGCTCTCAAGTCCTCAAAAATCTGTTCAAAAAATAGTGAAGATCAAGCACGGAATCAGAAATTATCGTCTACCTAACGGACAAATTTCCAGTCGTTCAATAAAAGCCCCTGGAAGTAGAATCATAAAAACTTTATCTCTCTACAGGAATGTGCTCCGGCTCATGGACAAATAAAACGTTCCACTTCTTCGAGACCAGTATCGGTTCTTTTTTCTGGCGATGAACCTGTGGCCTGTTTGCAGTTCGATGCCGGACCCATTCGATTTCCCAGCTTGTGGCCTTGTTGAAGAACGTAAGGAAACGGCAAAAATGCAAAGTTTATTTGCAAAAAGTTTTTAAAGGAAAGGTCCAAATTTTGGCATAAAATTATGCCGTTGATTATATCCCCCGTCGCACCATTGACTCGATGAAGAATGAGTTGAGAGCTGCATCGGATCTGATGGCGGTCACTTTAGAACTTCTTTGCAACCATAAAATATTATGGTTTGATCGTTTTATAAAGTATTTGCTTTCAAATTTCCGTGAACAAAAAAATGAAGTTTTTGCCTTTTGTGGCAAGCAACGTAATTTTTTCGCTCACTTGATTCACCATAAACGTTTTAGGCCATCTGAATTAAGGTTCCACCCCACAAACCTCGTGAGGCACAGAACAAATAACACCCACACAACTGTCCTGTACATCGGCTGGTCCCCGCAAGCCTTATTGAGGCTATGCCGCCTTCGAATTTGGCTGCGAATCGGAATGGAGGTAAAATGCGGGCGCACCATAAAAAGGGATTGAGCGAATGCCTATTTATTCATACTTGGAGGCAGGGTGAATAACGGTCGAGGAATTTCCTCGACCATAGCTCTCTACCATGCGAGAGTAGTGCCGAGAGTGAACATCCGCGCGGAGAGCACAGACGGCACGCGCATGGCGAGTGTGAATGTCCGCGCGAGAGATCGTGTCTGATCGGGCAGAGAATCCTCGACGTGCCGTTGAGGAATCCTCAAGCGATATTCACCCTGCTTGGAGGGGAAGGTACAAAGAGGTGAGGAAGTGGTAAACGGCGCCGCCCTCCACTAGCATGGTCCAGGGATCCGGTACCAACTGACCGACCACGGAGGAACAGAGCGATTGGTTGGCATGGGCGAGGTCCGATTCGAGATTCTTTCCCCAGACCCCACCCTGCGTCACAACAGACGACATTTGAAAACATTTCCCCATTAACAGTGGAAAAGAACTAGACGATGTTAAATATACCGCATTTGTCGTGAGGTGTTCCCAGCTGTGAAAAACTGTACAATACCTCTCATTGTACGATACCTCTCAGTGCTATTGAAAGGTGTGATCCCCTCCCCCATACGGCCGCCAACAGCGTAGAGAAAGTTGTCAAGAACAGCAACACCGACTCCATCCCTGCAGTGACTTTTCGAGAACAAAATCACCTTCTGAAATGAATGTAGTACCTTTGCTTTTTCATAGAAGTAACGTGCTGCCACACAGGATTCGCTTCCACAGAATTAAGACGTTCCACACAGTCGGAGGCCTTCCCGTTGCAAAATCCTCCCACTGAACGTCACACAATGTAAATTATGTATAAAATTGTACGGTTTTGTTCAGTGAACTAAACTTTGTTTACTCAAATTCTCAGGTGAAAAGGTATTTCTCGAAGCTAGGGTGATTTTTCATCAGTCGGTCACACTCTCTTTCGCATATGTCCTTAGACGGGAACTGAACAATTAGAATGCGTTCCCTCTAGGATTTTCAGCGAGCGAGGGAGGACCAAGAGTTCATACGAAA